ACATAGTGAGTCAGGGTTGTGTAAGCTGGGATTTGCGTCATCTCTTCCATTCTTTTGCGGTCGTGTGTAAACCCTGGTCAAGTGTTTGTTGTAGGCTAAGGTTCGTGGTGGCACAAATATTGCCGTTTTCTTAACTCTGTCATGAAACCGGGCGTGAGCGGAGGAGGGAAGGGTGGGTGTGGTAGATGCAACGGAAGTCTCCTGACACTGAAAACGAATGGACGCTTAAGTCACCGCACCTGCACAACCACGCCGTGACGCAAAAGGTGGTCATTATCGGAAGCGACGGGTTTTGTACAGGGTTGTAAACGTCGGGAACGGTACCATCTTCAGCTATTGTACTCAATATTGGGATTTTCTTACAGAAAAATTAAGGTACTAGTTACTTAAATAATGTTAAAGATACTGCTAACAGGGGCCGAACTGATTATTTTATTTGAGTAGAGTGTGGAAAACGCAGTGGTCTCGGTGGAATTCAAACCGACGACCAGAGAGAAAAGGCTTCAGTACAGTTAATACGCTAGTCACTTGAGTTATGAGGCCCCATCGGGACCCAGGAGTTGAAACACATTTGGGTTATGTTAACCGCCCAGGCTACAGCAACGTCTGGAATACACCATTACTCTGAATAAACACGCGGGCCCCGATGTGACCTCGTAACTCAGATGGTGAGAGCATTGACTGTAGTGTTGCCCTCTCCTTCCTGTCATGAGTTCCAATTCCACCGCGGCTACCGAGTTTTTCACACTCGAGCCAAATAAAAAATACTAGTGTCGACAAAACTGCTTGGTATATTTTTGAGGGGTTCGTTGGTGGTAACTCCTATTATTTTACCGTACCCATGAGATATAATCGAAACCATACGCCTACTGAGCTTGATTTCCCCGATGACGACACCTTTCTTGTAAAAACAAAGTGGCCACGATCGCCGAGTTATTCTTCACGGGCACAGACTATCATCATTACTTGTATGAGTGTGGGTCAACCTCCAAAGGAAAACATATGTGCCCAGGTAGGTACAGCAAATCTTTACCTGCGTGAGTGAACATCTTGTTGCGTACAATTGCCTGGTAGGTGTTAAGAGCCTCTTGGTGCATGCCACTGTCTGCATAACGATTGGCCAGATTGAAAAGGACCGAGTAGGTCAGATCAAGGTTGATCTGGTCAGCGATTCCGAGCTGTTCCCGCTGACGCACCAAGACGCGCTCTTTGCGTCCCGCTTCCTTAGCCCTTTCCAAGGCGAGGCTATAGTCTCCGTCGGCCGCTGCTAAACAGCTTTCTTCAAATAAGGCAGTGACCTTTAGCAATAATTAAAAAAGAAGAATAGTGATTTGCCTTCCAAGTGGCAGGAGGTCGAACAAAACGTGAGAACCTTAGTATATATTGCCATTTATATAATATGAGGCATTTGAAAAGAAACAGGAAGTTTTAAACTGAAGTGTTTTCTCGGTCTGCTAACTTACCTGATAATAGATTGAGTGTGTTTTTGTCCCAAAGTATCATTTATTATTAAGGCTGAATGTTTAAGCAACATCGAAAGCCTTTAGAGTTTCTGGTTTTCTAAAATATAGCAGTTTGTAACATATGTCACGTGATTCAGAAATGTATTGTTGTTGATCCAACAAATCGTTTCAGGAAGCTGATTTATGCGGTCAACATGTCAACACTTAATCCGTTTGACCTTTATCTGACGGTCAAAGTAGTCGATGTGAGAGCAGTGTGCAGAAACGGTCAAGAATAATTATTTTGAATTCTTTTTCCTAAGTACTCTCTGCAGACAAGGATTGAA